AGTGGACCGAGAGAGCCTGCTGGTTCTTAGGGAAGGTTTTTAGAAGCTTGTCACAGTGAAGTCTGAAACCAGGCTGCATGTGGCGCATATATACACATCTCGGCAGAATCTGCCACATGTGAAAAACAAAACAACAGCTTTTGCCAAACTCTAAGCTGATATTTATAGGTTGTCCAAAGACAGTCACCTCTTTAGAAGCAGATGATACCCTTTTTCCTGGATACTTTTTACAGGAAAAAAAAAGGGGGGGGGGACACAGCAAGGCTTTCACAAAAGCCTTTTTTTACACAGGGTTCTAAAACCAAATATTAAGAACACAGACTGAGGCCATTACAGTGAGCAGTCATTTTTATATACTTTTGGGTATTATCAGGGTATCAGAATTGATAGCGGAGGGGCGCCTGGGTGGCTCAGTCAGTTAAGCGGCTGCCTTCAGCTCAGGTCATGATCTCAGGGTCCTGGGATCGAGCCCTGCATCGGGCTCCCTGCTCTGAAGGAAGCCTGCTTCTCCCTCTCCCACTCCTCCTGCTTGCGTTCCTTCTCTTGCTATCTCTCTCTGTCAAATAAATAAATAAAAATGTTTAAAAAAAAGAACTGATGGCAGAAATCTTGTGATAAATGTGGGTGGGGAATGGTGGAGGGTAGTAGGCAAGAATGTCCATAGGTTGTGTGAGTTTTGTTAATACACTAATCTAATCCCAGCTAAGACCACCCAACCTCCCTCTCTCCTCCCTCTCTTTTCCTTCATTGCTATAGAGTTTTTTTGTTGTCTGTTTCAATGCAGGAGTTAAAATTATAATTAAATTTAAATTTAAAAGGAAATCATTTTAAACTAATTAATAAATTATATTGTAATTGGTTGGATGATTAATTTTATGCAGGGATTAAAATCAAAATGCACTGTGTCCTCTAGTCCACTGGCTTTAAAGTGTGGTCCCCACCAATATCACTTGGGAACTTACTACAGATGCAAATTCTTGGGTGCCACCCAGATCTTCTGAATTCATCCAAGGGATTCTGATGCACAATAAAGTTTCTTTTTTAAAGATTTATTTCTTGCAGAGAGAGAGAGAGCACAAGCCTGTGTTCACACAGACATGAATGGAAGTGGGGGCGGGATGAGGGGGTGTGCAGGGGGACAGGGAGACAAGCAGACTCCAGACTCCCCACTGAGCCAGGAGCCTGACATAGGGCTTGATCCCAGGACCCTGAGATCATGACCTGAGCCCAAATCAAGAGTCAGAGACTTCACTGACTGAGCCACACAGGCACCCCATGATGCACAATAAAGTTTTGGAACTGAAGCTCTAGTCCAGCTATTCTCCACTCTGGCTCCACATTGCAATCACTGAGAAAACTTGAAAAAGTACCGCTGTCTGGGTCCCATCCCCAGAGACTCTGATTTGATTGGTTTGGGATGTGGTTTTGGGCATGGGAATTTTTGAAAGCTCCCCATGTGACTATAAGAAGATGAGACTGAGAACCATTGCTCCAGCCTGCTTAGGTCATCTGGGCCTTTATAGCCAAATAAAGCCACTCAAAGCAACTACATTCTAGGAGTTGTGGGGGATTAATCTCTCTCTCCCAAATAAAGATGCCGAGAGTAGTAAGGTTTTCTCTCTCCCCTCATATGCTCCCTTTGAGCCAGGTCAGGAGGACAGAGTTGCCCAGACTCCGTTAGCCCTGGTGGGAGTCCCACCAGATTTCATCTTCCTTCTACTGTGGCTTTTCTAGTTCTCCCTCCCCACATGGCCTGGAGTTCAGGTCAGTTATATCAAATAAGTCAGATTGGGAGAGGTACTTAATGGGTTTAGTCCAAGAATTTGGTGGTGGAGAGAAGATTGTGTACAGATATTGGGGTGGCAGGGGCAGATGTGAACGAGAGCAGGGGTTGTGATGCCAGTGAATTTTCTGTAGGGAGTCACTTTATTAAGGATGGGTTGAAGCCTGGGAAGCTGAAATTTGTGGAGGACTGTTGGAGGGGAGGTGGGAAGGGTGCAAATAATTAGTATTATCCTATGATGCTAATTCGGATTTAGAATTCTAATGTAGTCCCATACTGCTATTACTTTTTGAGGCAACCAGAGTTCTGTTCCCCAAACTGACTCCACCTCTATCACCAAGACCATTAAAACCTTTCTGCATACATCCATATCCACACTAGTTTTCAAGACTGGCAGGGGGGTGCGGGTGGAGGAGCAGTTAGCTAGGGAGTGGGAAGACGGAAGGAAGTAACTTACGCAGACCGGTGAGGGGCATGATGCTTTCTTCTATCAACCCTACGTAATAGCAAACAATCATTTTATTACTAAGACTAGTTAAAATGCAGTACCTCTTCCTAAATATGCCTATACTTATTCATCAAGTGTTTTATTTTATTTTAAAGATTTATTTGTTTGAGAGAGAGAGAGAGAGAGAGAGCACACAGGAGGGGCAGAGAGAGAAGGAAAGAAGCAGACTCCCCGCTGAGTGGGAAGCCCAACACGAGGCTGGATCCCAGAACCCTGAGATCATGACCAGAGCTGAAACCAAGAGTCCAATGCTTAACCAACTGAGACACCCAGGTGCCCCTATTCACAAAGGATTTTAAAAACAAGGATTACAAAGATGTTTCAGACATGATAGTGAGTATGTTAAATAAATAGCCAATCTCACACTTAACCAACAATAATAGGTGATGCCACAAATTGGCAATAAATAGCAAATTCTAAGGCGCCTGGGTGGCTCAGTCAGTTAAGCGTCTGCCTTCGGCTCAGGTCATGATCCCAGGTCCTTGGGATAGAGACCAGCATCAGGCTCTCTGCTCTGCGAGAGTCTGCTTCTCCCTCTCCCTTTGCCCCTCCCCCCACTCCACTCATGCTTGAGCTCTGTCTCTCTCTCTCTCTCTGAAATAAACAAATAAAATCTTAAAAAAATAATAGCACATTCTATAAGCAAGACCCAGAGCTAAACAGTCAGTGTGAGTGATCGCCTTTAATCCTCACAACAATCCTAAAGGTCGGGCTTCTGTGTTTTTAACTTATTTTTTCATTGTAGTTGACAAACGGTGTTAGATTCATTTCAGGCATGGAGAGGAGTGAAGAGGGAGGGTGGCTGAGAGAATTCATTCTAACTGACCATTTAGCCTTTGCAGGACTTATGACAGGAATGGTCTGAGTATGGTTTAAGAGAACCACCCTGGTGCCCGTATGGGAAGTGCACTCTGGGAAGCCAAAGGTGGATCGAGGACATGAGGGAGCTGTCACACTGGCCCGGATGGGATGGGTGAGAGACTTGCATTAGGTCTGTAGCAACAGAAATGCTAAAGAAGTTGGAAGTGTGAGATATTTTGCATAGGGTAAATACCGATTGACAACAGAATGAGCTTATGACCTAGTCCCCATCAAGGTTTCCCCTGGGCCACAATATTCAATCAGACAGGAGAAAGGAACCAGGCCAATCATTGGCCACTGGCATTTTCCCCTAATGACTGATGAACCAAAAAAATCATCTGGGTCCATCAGCTGGGATGAAGGGAAGCTTGGAACTTAAATTGCCCGAGGAAGAGATAGAAAGTCCCTTGAAGCAAACAGATCTTGAGAGAACCTGAAATATGCCACTATAACACAAGCTGTCACCTCCAGTCCTAGGGAAATTGGGGCTGCCCTTTCTTTGGCATTTTGAGACACAAGAAGAGGTCTGGACGCCTAGGGCCCACCCCAGATGTTCAAACTGCAGTTCTTAACCTGTTGGCAAGTTGTAAATCAAAAGTGTGTGAGCCCAGCATTTTTTCCTAATAAAATATAATAGAAGAGAAAATTATAGTGTCTTGCTCATCCTAAGTACTGCTTCAGGAAACTTTTGTTTCCACATTAGCAGGACCTGTTAAGGTAGATCAGGGTGGATGCAGGCTCCACGTTACAGTAAGGGAAGGAGGCCCCTGAAATAAAATCATAGGGATCAAAAGGAAATATGGGGGAAAAAATATCAAAATCGGTTGCTCCCCCACCACAGTGGAGTTGGAAAGAAACAGGAGATGACAATTCTGAGTTTCTTTGGAATTGAGGTCAAAAGCAGATTCCTGAACATGTCCCAACCCAACCCTTCCAAAGCAAATGTCACCTCAGAACTGGCTGACTCAGTAAATTAGGGGAAAAAAACACAATCCTAAAGGACCTGAATGATTTGAAAAGGAGCCATGCTGAGCACAGGAGACTCTGTAGGGGAAATTGCAGTCTGCGACTAAGTGCATGTGGGCGGGGGGAGGGAAGCTTCAGCTGGAACGTGAGAGGAGGACCAAACAGAACTAAACAGGAATACATCAAATATTTCAGAGACTTAATTGCAAAAAATCTAAAATTCTAACGGTAAAAAATAAATTCAAAAGGAACCTGGAGAACAGTTTTTGGTGAGCATCTATTTACAAGTTAACATGGTTGATAAGAATTCCTATGAATCAAAACTCAGCGGCAGTAGCCTGAGTCGGGGAGATCTTCTTTCCGGTCAGAAGGCAGGGTTTTGCATGCACAACTGCACCCGGTAGGTGGGCGAATGGGGGTCCAGTCTTCTCAACAGTCATTTCCCTAATTACATAACTGATTCCAGAAGGTTCAGAATCTTAGCAGCTTGACATTCTCTGAGCCTGTTGGCACCTTCGTGCCTGCCACATACACAGCATACTCCTTTGACAACCACACAAAAGGCCAATCAATGATTGAAATGGGCAAAGAACAAGTCCCATTAGAACAAACATGAATCACCATTAATTATAGCTATCTCTAAGTTCTGTCTTTCAGCTGTGTTTGGGAGAAATAAAAATGAGAAACATCATTCTTTCCCAGTACTTTTGTCTCTCACTGAAACTTCATGTCAAAATATCTCACACTGACTGTTGCACTCTTTTCTCCCAGATAGCTATCATTATTAGGAATTATATCATAGAAAAAGCATGAAATAATGAAAAAGACATTGTTTCTACCCACAAAATGTTTTATTTAACTTACAATCTAAAAATTCCCCATTTGTATTTAGTACAAAATAAATGCACAGCACTGTCTCTGATCATCACAACTATTTGGCTGAGAAATATAATTATCCCCACTTGAAGACTAGGAAAACTGAGGCTTAGAGCACTTAATAACATCCCCTAAAACCCCACAGTTCTTTAGCTACAAAGTCTACAAAATATAGCCTAAAAATTGGTTAGTTGCCAAATCTACAAAATCTATTTTTAAAAATCTTTCTAGTGTAGCACATTTTCTCTCTCTAGGTCATTCTGACCTTTTCATTCACCTCTGAGAAAGCTTCTAGGAAGTGCTGAGTTTCTCACGAGCAGATTTTCAGGGAAGCACTCCTGTCACCTTCTCTAGGCAACTCAGGACAGAAGAACAGACGCAAAGGCTCCAAACATGAGAGATGACTGTGTGTATAGATGAGGATGTTATCTCTAACATCAAAAAACTTGATTTCTTCCATCTCAACATCTAAAAATATCCCTACATGGCTAAGTTCAGGGCTTGCAGGAATTCTGGTTTCCGGGATGGAGTTGATGCAGATTGTTCCTGCCTTCATGCTGATAAACCAGAAGCCATGCTCAACGGAGAAACCACCTTTCCTCTTTCTGTTGACTGACTCCTTACAGATCCCTAGAGTCCACTCCTTCCCCTCCCCCACCTCAACCTCCCAGTAATGGCAGCCAGAGGAGAAGAATGGGGTGCCCAGGACACAGGTCAGGTAGGTGAATCTCTGGGGTCTTCCACTGGGTTGTGGCAGATCTTCCCACACCCAACATTCCTTAGGTCATCAGAGAGGACAAGGAAGGGGTTGGCAGTGCTTGCATCCAGAGTCATAACCTCCTGGAACCTCAGCAATTCTTTGCTCATGTGCAGACTTTTCACCAGTAGGCCACTGTGCTGTCTGACCAGAAGGGATAGTGCTCCGATTTGCCATTCCTCCAAAGGGGGGCTCTCTGCTACCCCTCGACACATGGGGCAGGTCAATTTCAGATCCCTGTGTTCTAGCAGCCATGTTTGCATGCAATGAAAACAGAAAACGTGTTCACAGGAGAGTAAAATGGAACAGAAGAAAATTTCCAGACAAACTTTATAAGCTTCTGAAAGTGATTGGGAGCCTTCTGTACACAATCTGTTCAATAATCATGATACAAAAATTAAATAATATAAACCTTTCAGTAGTTTATACAGGAAAGTGGCACAAAGTCACCAGAGAATTATAGTAAAAGCACTACCTGTGAGAAAAATTATCAAAAACTAAACAAAATCTAGGTGATCACAAATGAGAGAAACAGGGCAGTGGACATTGCGTTCTCAGGTGGAGCAGTTTACCTTGTGTGGAGCACCCAGATGAGGTCCTCTCTGCTCGGACCACAGCTTCTCTTTCTGGGAGCTGAGTCCAACGAGGTCTTTCATAGGATCTCAGAGTGCAGTCTCTGCCTCTAATCAGTATTCCTTTGTAGGTAACCTGCAGTCCAAGAAAAAGAATCTTCACATCTAAATACAACCATAAAAATAAAGCCAATCTGACTGTCACAGAAAAGTGACTCTGAGAAGCCCTGTGTATTTTCAAAGAAAACGACCATACGTGAGTCAAACTAGCAAAAACCACTGCAAAATGAATGAGATACCCATTATAGAATCACTTTTCAGGACAAAGTATCATTCAGATGAAATGCTTTCAAGCACTCTTAGAAAAGTAGGAAGGCTTGAGTGAATGTGAATAAAAATATAACCATTGTCACCAACTTCTCTAAAATAATGTCTGAACACAAGCCAAAAAGGTGTTCTGACAAGGAAGATGTTATAGCCACTACACCGACTGTCCTCTCCTCCCGAAGCTTACTCCTAGAGATGCCTTCTGGGCCTTCCTACAGAGGTTGCACACTTTGGGTAAACTACTTCTGGCATGCTAGGCCTGGCTGATTGGAACAAGCTGGGCTCCTAACCCAAAGACAACCATTTCAGGCTAGTTGGTGCCCAGGAGATGATGTGAACTGAGGATGCTTCTTGAGAAAGGGCCAATACTGAATAATAACTAACAGAACTTCTTATTAAGAATTCACATTCAATTGTGGCTGAAGTAACAGAATCCAAGACAGAAAGATAAGCTATGTCAACATCACCACAGAGGGACAGAGTAGGAAGGAATGGGCACTCTTGAGCCTAGCACAGAAAAACTACGTTACTAGAACATCCTGGAACACATTCCTTCATCTCCATCCAACAAATACTTATGAAGAGCTTCCCATGATCCTACCCTCAGCTAGACTCTGGGGATACAGATGTGTGTTAACAATAGACAGGGTATCTGCCCACAAGGAACTTGGAGTCTTGGGAAGCCTTCCCGTTCCTGAATGCATTCCAGTCTGATGGGGCCTGGCTGAGTGACAAGAGATAACATTCTTCCTTAAATCCCATTACCCTTTCCAAAAACCTGACTTTTTAAGACATATTTGAATATGGTGCTTAACAATCTAAAAGGTCTTACCCAACCCACCTTGGAATAGATGTAAGAAAAAATTTCACAAAAGAAAAAAATGCTACATTTGTAAAAAGTTGTCCTTTTCAGTGTTATCTATGACCCCAAATTATAGAAACAATCTAATTATAGAAAGATAATGAAATGATTCCGTTAATTATAATACAGCTATTAAAAGTAGTATTTCTTAAATTCCACATATGAGTGAAATCATATGGTATTTGTCTTTCTCTGACTGACTGATTTCACTTAGCATAATACACTCTAGCTCCATCCGCATCATTGCAAATGGCAACAAAACAAATGAACATGGGGATGGGGAGGGGAGGCAAACCAAGAAATAGACTCTCAACTATAGAGAACAAACTGATGGTTACCAGAGGGGAGGAGGGTGAGGGGATGGGTGAAATAGGTATTTCACCCATGGGGATTAAGGAGGGCACTTGTTGTGACCAGCTCTGGGTGTTGCATGTAAATGCTGAATCACTAAATTCTACACCTGAAACTAATATTACACTGTATGTTAACTAACTGGAATTTAAATAAAAATTTAAAGAAAGAAAAAAAAAAGTGGTAAGTATATTTAAGCAAAAACCCAGAAACATCTTTAAGAAATCATGTTAGAAAATAAGGAACCATTTTAAAACATATACGTTGTAGTTGAAAATACATAAAAATACATGTATGCACAAAAATTAATAAAAACACCTGAAGTTCATATGTAAAAAATTTAACTGGCAATGTTAGAGTAGAAGGTGGAAAAAGTTCCCTGACACAGGATGACTGACTGTCTCCTGAAATCCAGAGATAAAAGCATTTAAAAGATAAGTTGTAGCCAAAGAGAGAGCAATGGGACAGTGGAAATAGCCCAGACAGAAGAGAGCACTCACACTATTACACTAATTGGGAAAATTCCAGCAGTCCTGAAGATCCAAAGCCCATATACCTCTATCTCTCCTAGCCTTGACTTCTGTCTGAAGTTCAGTTTGAGCGCAGATGGTCTGGCCTTATATAGTCCTGTAACACAGTCACCGCCCTCAAGGAGGGTCATTGTCTCTGCCCCAATGATTGGATTATCTCAATCTAACCAAGTAAACTGAAGCAACCCTACTCCTCCACGCAGGAGGATGACGTAAAGTCACACCCAAAATCTTCTAACAGTTATCCTCTTTGAGTTAACCTAGCGAACCTATGGCCATCCAAATGAGATTGTCTAATTTCAGAACTCAACTTTAAAAAGCAAAATGTTTTACAGATCCAATATAGAAATGCACTGCTGAGACATTGGAGGAGCAAGATGGTGGAGGAGTAGGAGACCTGGATTTCGTCTCCTCTCAGGAATTCAGCTGGATAGGGATCAAACCATTCTGAACACCTACAAACTCAAAGGAGATCGAAGAAAAGAATAGCAACAACTCTCTCATCAGAAAAGCGACCACTTTCTGGAAGGTAGGACGTGCGGAGAAGTGAATCCGAGGCGATATTCGGGAGGATAGACGGCGGGGGAGGGGCCTCCGTCAGCCGCTTCTGGCAAGTGATAGAGCCACGGAGCACAAAATCGGAATTTTTAAAAGTCAGCTCCGCTGAGAGACGTCACTCTGGTGGCTAAGCGGGGGGTGGAACCCTCCGGGACAGTGTGGTCTCAGGACCCTCAGGGTCACAGAAAGACCGGGGGTGCCTGAGTGCGGCAGAGCTCCCAGGTATCAGAGCAGGGAAGCCGGCTGCAGAGGCGGAGCCCAGGCGCGGGCTCTCAGCTCGGGGTGGCCATAGACCGTGATCCGGGGCACAGTCGGGCCACTGCTCCTCCAGCAGGGACCCAACAAGCGGCAGATCCGGGGAGACTCACCTTCCTCCCCCGGGGGGAGCCGCGTGGGAGTGCACTGCAGGGATCTGCTGGGTTTGGAGACTCCACACCGAGTCGGGTGCCAGAGATAGAAACGCGGGGTCACAGGCCGGGTGAGCACGGAGCGCGGCCGGAGACCGGGGAGATGGGAGTGACTGACGGCTTTTCTCTGGGGGCTCACTGAGAAGCGGGCCCCGAGTTCTCGGCTCCTCCGGGGTGGAGATTGGCAGGCCGCCATTTTCACTCTCCGCCTCCAAAGCTGTACGGAAAGCTCGCAGGGAACAAAAGCTCCGGAGAGCAAACCCGAGCAGATTACTTAGCCGGGAGGGGGCAAGGGCGGGGCAATTCCGCCTCCGGCAAAGACATTTGGAAACCATGGCAACAGGCCCCTCCCCAGAAGATCAGCAAGAACAGCCAGCCAAGACCAAGTTTACCGATCAATGAGAACGGCAGAACTCCAGCGCTAGGGGAATACTGCACATAGAAGTCACGGCTTTTTTACCATGATTCTTTAGTCTTTTAAAGTTAATTTTTTTTAACTGTCTTTTTGTCTTTTTATTTCTTTTTGAATTTTTCTTTTTCCCTTTTTCAACCAACATCTTATCAATCCCTTTTTAAAAAAAAAAAAACATTTTTATTTTTCATTTTTAGAGTCATATTCTATCCCTTCATAGTAGTTACCCATATTTTTGGCTTATATATATAAGTTGTTCTCTCTTTAAAATTTTGAGATAGTTTCTTCTAACAGATTAAAATATACCCTAAATCTCTAGTATATGGTGTTTTCTATTCCCCTGCCTGATCACATCCTCTCCCTTTTTTTTTCTTTTTTTTTTCTTTTTTTAAATCCTCTTCTTTCTTTTTTCAAACAACTTCTTATCAATTCCTTTTATAAAATTTTTTATAATTTCCATTTTTACAGTCATATTCCATCCCTTCATCATATCAACCCTTATTTTTGTACATATATAAGTTTTTCTTTCTTTAAAATTTTGGGAGGCACTTTCTTCTAAAAGACCAAAATACACCCCAAATCTAGTGTGTGGCACTGAACTATATACCAGCCTGATCATATTTGATCACATTCTGTTTTTTTGTTGTTGTTGTTGTTGTTTTGTTTTGTTTGTTTTTGTTTTTATCTTTATCTTTATCTTTATCTTTTTCTTTTTTTTCTTTTTCTTTTTTCTCTCTTTCCCTTTCTTATCCCACTGCTTCAGGTCTTTTCTGATTTGTTTAGAGTATATTTTCTGGGGACGTGGTTACTCTGCTAGCATTTTGTTCTCTCATTAATCTATTCTCCCCTGCACAAAATGACAAGAAGGAAAAAATCACCTCAACAAAAAGAACAAGAGGTAGTACCAACTGCCAGGGACCTACTCAATATGGACATTAGTATGATGTCAGATCTAGAGTTCAGAATCATCACTTTAAAGATACTAGCTGGGCTTGAAAAAAATATGGAAGTTATTAGAGAAACCCTTTCTGGAGAAGTAAAAGAGCTAAAATCCAACCAAGTAGAAATCAAAAAGGCTATTAATGAGGTGCAATCAAAAATGGGGGCGCTAAGTGCTAGAATAAATGAGGCAGAAGAGAGAATCAGTAATATAGAAGATGAAATGATGGAAAATAAAGAAGCTGAGAAAAAGAGAGATAAACAGCTACTGGATCACGAGGGCAGAATTCGAGAGATAAGCGATACCATAAGACGAAACAACATTAGAATAATTGGGATCCCAGAAGAAGAAGAAAGAGAGAGAGGGGCAGAAGGTATAATGGAGCAAATTATAGCAGAGAACTTCCCTAATTTGGGGAAAGAAACAGGCATGAAAATCCAGGAAGCACAGAAAACCCCTCTCAAAATCAATAAAAATAGGTCAACACCCCGACATCTAATAGTAAAACTTACGAGTCTCATAGACAAAGAGAAAATCCTGAAAGCAGTTCGGGAGAAGAGATATGTAACCTACAATGGTAGAAACATTAGATTGGCAACAGACCTATCCACAGAGACCTGGCAGGCCAGAAGGACTGGCAGGATATATTCAGAGCACTAAATGAGAAAAATATGCAGCCAAGAATACTCTATCCAGCTAGGCTGTCATTGAAAATTGAAGGAGAGATAAAAAGCTTCCAGGACAAACAAAAACTAAAGGAATTTGCAAACACAAAACCAGCCCTACAGGAAATCTTGAAAGGGGTCCTCTAAGCAAAGAGAGACCCTAAAAGCAACATAGACCAGAAAGGAACACAGACAATATACGGTAACAGTCACCTTACAGGCAATACAATAGCACTAAATTCCTATCTTTCAGTAGTTACCCTGAATGTAAATGGGCTAAATGCCCCAATCAAAAGACACAGGCTAACAGACTGGATTAAAAAACAAGACCCATCGATATGCTGTCTGCAAGAGACTCATTTTAGAACCAAAGACACCCCCAGATTGAAAGTGAGGGGGTGGAAAACCATTTACCATGCTAATGGACACCAAAAGAAAGCTGGGGTGGCAATCCTTATATCAGACAAATTAGATTTTAAACCAAAGACTGTAATAAGAGATGAGGAAGGACACTATATCCTACTTGAAGGTTCTATCCAACAAGAAGATCTAACAATTGTAAATATCTACGCCCCTAACATGGGAGCAGCCAATTATATAAGGCAATTAATAACAAAAGCAAAGAAACACATCGACAACAATACAATAATAGTGGGGGACTTTAACATCCCTCTAGCTGAAATGGACAGATCATCTAAGCAAAAGATCAACAAGGAAATAAAGACTTTAAATGACACACTGGACCAAATGGACTTCACAGACATATTCAGAACATTCCACCCCAAAGCAACGGAATACACATTCTTCTCTAGTGCCCATGGAACATTCTCCAGAATAGATCACATCCTAGGTCATAAATCAGGTCTCAACCGGTACCAAAAGATTGGGATCATTCCCTGCCTATTTTCAGACCACAATGCTTTGAAACTAGAACTCAATCACAAGAGGAAAGTTGGAAAGAACTCAAATACATGGAGGCTAAAGAGCATCCTACTGAAGAATGAATGGGTCAACCAGGAAATTAAAGAAGAATTAAAAAAATACATGGAAACCAATGAAAATGAAAACACAACTGTTCAAAATCTTTGGGATGCAGCAAAGGCAGTCCTAAGAGGAAAGTATATAGCAATACAAGCCTTTCTCAAGAAACAAGAAAGGTCTCAAGTACACAACCTAACCCTACACCTAAAGGAGCTGGAGAAAAAACAGCAAATAAAGCCTAAACCCAGCAGGAGAAGAGAAATCATAAAGATCAGAGCAGAAATCAATGAAATAGAAACTAAAAGAACAGTAGAACAGATCAACGAAACTAGGAGCTGGTTCTTTGAAAGAATTAACAAGATTGATAAACCCCTGGCCAGACTTATCAAAAAGAGAAGAGAAAAGACCCAAATCAACAAAATCATGAATGAAAGAGGAGAGATCACAACCAACACCAAAGAAATACAAACAATTATAATAAGAACATATTATGAGCAACTCTATGCCAGCAATTTAGATAACCTGGAAGAGATGGATGCATTCCTAGAGATGTATCAACTACCAAAACTGAACCAGGATGAAATAGAAAACCTGAACAGATCTATAACCACTAAGGAAATTGAAGCAGTCATCAAAAATCTCCCAAAAAACAAAAGCCCGGGGCCAGATGGCTTCCCAGGGGAATTACACCAAACATTTCAAGAAGAATTAATACCTATTCTTCTGAAACTGTTCCAAAAAATAGAAACGGAAGGAAAACTTCCAAACTCATTTTATGAGGCCAGCATTACCTTGATCCCAAAACCAGACAAAGACCCCATCAAAAAGGAGAATTACAGACCAATATCCCTGATTAACATGGATGCAAAAATTCTCACCAAAATACTAGCCAATAGGATCCAACAGTACATTAAAAGGATTATTCACCATGACCAAGTGGGATTTATCCCTGGGCTGCAAGGTTGGTTCAACATCCGCAAATCAATCAATGTGATACAATACATTAACAAAAGAAAGAACAAGAATCATATGATCCTCTCAATAGATGCAGAAAAAGCTTTTGACAAAGTACAGCATCCTTTCTTGATCAAAACTCTTCAGAGTATAGGGATCGAGGGTACATACCTCAATATCATAAAAGCCATCTATGAAAAACCTACAGCGAATA